CAGCCATCGAGTCGACTACCATCAACATAAATTGTTCCTGTTTATTTTACAACAAGCATTTACCTTGACACATTTCAAAGTCATCGACAAAAAACCCCAATGTGTCTACACATATTTAATAACCAGGTGACAATCTGTTTCTCACGGAAATATTGACATTATTTATTAGTGAGGAAATAAATCATCACACAAGCTTTGAAGTTGATTACGTCTCATCCAATTTTCTGAATTCTCCTTTACATTGGATGTTCAATTTTCTCCACAGCAGGATAGGATATCCATGCGATATCAAAACCACACCTAATAATATACAGTCTACCTACAGATCAGAACAAAATTAATGAATCAATGAGTTGGTGATAAACTCTAAAGCTCTCATGTTCTCCTACCTCATTCACAAGACACTGTATTTAAGACATGTGTCGTTTCCTTTCTTATTGTTTATATTTAGGCAATAATTGCTTTCAATGAGTTGGCATGAACCACAAAAGGAGAGACGGGGAAAGATGTGTTGTTGTAATTGTGGCATAATGACACACGCAACACATGCAGATTGAATGAGTATATACAAATACATCCATGTGTAGTGGCGCCTTCCAGAGGCAATGCGCTCCTGTCAGGTAAATATGTGTGGGGGACGCCAAACGTGTCATTGTCATTTTCTCATCTGTGGTCGGTCGTGAATAAGATTTGATATACGACGAATTTGATGTACGACCGATTTCAATGATATCGCTTACAATCATATGCAACTTTTTATGTCAGAGGAGTGCTTCATCGCTTAAGTGCAGTGTGAATCAGGGAATGGTGTTATAATGTTGTTTTTTCACATTGAAAAATAATGCATTACATAAGGAATGACTTCTTTGTAAGAAAGTAACCAAGCAGTGTTTTATACTCACGTAAATTGGGTTTCTTTCTGGTAGCACCTGAGTTAAATTGAACAACGGATAATTCAACAAAGCACCTATTCCAGCAATGAGGTAACCCAGACCAAATAACCGACCATAATACTCTGGTGGAAATCTGATAAATAAACAGAAACTCAAAATTATAGTACACCAAACCAACGAGCAATAAACATACGATTGTATAAAACAAGACATTTACATATACTCACAATAAAGCAATCATGCTACCATGGGCACACGATACAAAGACCCTACCAATGACGAAAAATGTGAAGGAGATTATCTGTTGAGAAAAAGATATGATAGCTACAACATTGTATGCCATTTTAGAGGACCTTTTGAGTAATTGTTTTTGCATTTTAAAGAAAAAAGATTCTTCTGTGAAAATGTACTATTTTATATTTCATGTAACACACTAAAATCCATACAGTCACTAGTTTGCATATGTTATGAATAATGCACGCTGAGATTGGTCTTGACACTCTTCAACATTTATATAGTAAAATGATATTAATATCTACATAATGATTGACAACTTACACAATGAAACGCAAACAACTAAATTCAATATATAGAATTCCATGTAAATCCATCAGAGAATGCATACAACTAAGTTATATATGTCGAAAATGTATGCATACAACTAATTCTATATTAAAAATGTTTTTAAAAATATCGTGGAAAATATTATGTCACTTATAAAAGGTTTATCTTGAAAACATTCTTAGAAAAAAAACTGAACACTAGAGCTCTACATTGAAATATAGACAAAAAATAGATTTTGAATTATTTTACCGGAAACATTATAAAAGTTGTTGGGCATCTTAGATATTGGGTATTTACCTGGATTTCAGGGATATGCACCAGTACAAATAGAGACATACACACAAACGCTACTATTGGAATTGTAGTTGCAATAATTGCTTGAAACAGCTGAGATTCTGATTTGGAATCCATAATGAGTCCCGGTAATGGAGCTATGGCAAATATCATCAACTGTAGTAATCCCAGTAAATATGTCAGCATCGCAACTACAAGAAAACAAGAAATTTTAAATCTCATGCATACACAAAATGTTACCAAGAGTAAATATATATGAAATCGTGTTATCAGGTTACGTGGCAGGTACAATATATTACTGATTATGATAAAACAATGTAGATATCACCAAATGCTGTGACTGCAATCCAATTGATCTCTAACATAAGTGTTAATATATTTTGTTTGACCTTTGACAGCCCTTGATGGGGTTTCAAATAAATGATAACTGTCAGTTTTTTTAGACTTGTTGGTTTAGACAGTAAGAATATTTTAGTTGCCTATTCAGTGATCATTCTTGCTAAAGTTTGTCGTGTATTTTGAGAATAACCTCATATATACGTTTCTGTGTGGATATAATATGGCCATTTACATTAGATTTACCTGCTGTGACTGCAATGTGCCCTACTTATCATTATACTATCTGCCAATTAGTCATCTATATTTCAACTACACTAAATCAATTTTGTATTACCTGATATTTCTGACCCCCCCCCCCTTCAATACCAAAACTTGAATACATCCTTGAAGTCTCTTTCATCAATACACTCTGAGTTATTATAATGCTGATTATTCATGAAGCAAGTAACATTGTCGTGTCTGCATGAATAAATGTTTTTGTAATTATGTGAACTTTTACTAAAGTTGCAGTTTTAATTTACACTCCCGGCGACTAGATCTTTGCTACGTTTGCATAACAAGAATCACCCATATATCACGCTAGTTGCAACAATGAATTACTTCTCTAATTTCTTCATCAATGGTTTGTCTTATTTATCATTATGGTGTAGAACTAATGATTCGGAACAAATTAAAATAAGTTTAAACCTGTCTTGGGGAATATAGATTAAGAATAGAGTATAACTTTTCCGATCTGCTTTCATAAGCACCATATTGAAATCCTGCATTTATGATAACTTTTAAAATTTATCTTAATGCAGAAGAATAGCAATGCAAATCATCCACACTGCTGGTTGGCGACAATTTAAGTCTTCCACACCGCTTGGCTACTATGCAACACTTCTACACTGCTGGTTGCCTATTATGCAAATTGTCCATACTGCTTGGGGTACAATACAAAACTTCCACGTTGCTGGTTGGCTACTGTGCAAATCTTCTACACTGCTGCTTGGCTACAATTTAAGATTTCCACACTGCTTGGGCTAATATGCAAAACTTCTACAAGGCTGGTTGGCTACTATGCTATTTTTCTACATTGTTGGTTAGGCAATTCTTCCACAGTGCAGGTGTAGAACAATGCAAATCTTCTATAGTGCAGAAAACAGCTATGCAAGTAATCTATAGTACATGCCTTTCATTTTGCATGAGAACAAATATGCAAATTTTCCATAGTGCAGTCTTACATTCTACTAGCGAACATCTATGTAAATCTCACTAAGCCCGACTGTGCAAATCTGACACAGCGCAAGAACATGTTTTATGTAATAGCTCCTGGAATTATATTACTGGTTCATAAATAAATATCTAAATCAGTTCCATTTAAGAATTGAAGCCCACAAGTGAAATACAATTCCAAAGAAACGAATGACCTAGAATAATTCTCAATAATAATAATATTAACAATTATAGATAAGCTGTGCATTTGTTGTATACCTTGTTTTTGTCCATCAACGGCAATATAAAACAAGAACGGATTAAGCGTTCCTATGAGATATGTGTATCGAATAGACAGTACTGTAAACCATATTGTATGCCATGCCCATTCACATGATGCGATGGTCTTGCGAAATGATTGAGTTGTTGATGTTGAGTATATATCATTTTGGACAGGATACAATTCAATACTCTGTAACCATTCATACCCCTGTGGTACCGACAGTTTTCCTGAAATAAAATAAAAAGGTTTTTATCACCACATTACATATGAGTGTAAATGGAAATAAAATAACTTGTACTGAAGGATACGTTGTCTAGTTGGGTGTACTGAAGGATACATTGTCTAGTTGGGTGTACTGAAGGATACAATGTCTAGTTGGGTGTACAACATGATAAGGTGTCTAGTTGGGTGAACTGACAGATATCGAGTCTGGTTGGGTGTACTGAAGGATACGATGTCTAGTTGGGTGTACTGCAGAATATGGTGTCTATTTGGGTGAACTGACAGATATCGAACTGGTTGGGTGTACTGAAAGATACGTTCTCTAGTTGAGTGTATTGAAGGTCACATTGTCTAGTTGGGTGTACTGAAGGTCACATTGTCGAGTTGGGTGAACTGAAGGATACATTGTCTAGTTGGGTGTACTGAAGGATACAATGTCTAGTTGGGTGTACTACATGATATGGTGTCGAGTTGGGTGAACTGAAGGATACATTGTCTAGTTGGGTGAACTGAAGGATACATTGTCCAGTCGGGTGTACTGAAGGATACAATGTCTAGTTGGGTGTACTACATGATATGGTGTCTAGTTGGGTGTACTGAAGGATACATTGTCTAGTTGGGTGAACTGAAGGATACATTTTCCAGTTGGGTGTACTGAAGGATACAATGTCTAGTTGGGTGTACTACATGATATGGTGTCTAGTTGGGTGAACTGACAGATACCGAGTCTGGTTGGGTGTACTGAAAGATATTGTGTCTAGTTGGGTGTACTGAAAGATATTGTGTCTAGTTGGGTGTACTTAAAGATATTGTGTCTAGTTGGGTGAACTGAAAGATATTGTGTCTAGTTGGGTGTACTGAAGGATACTTGTCTAGTTGGGTGTACTTAAAGATATTGTGTCTAGTTGGATGAACTGAAAGATATTGTGTCTAGTTGGGTGTACTGAAGGATACTTGTCTAGTTTGGTGTACTGAAGGATACATTGTCTA